GAGTGTCATACCTTCATGAGGCACTATATCAGTGATAGCGAGTGGGAGCATCACAGCGGAGACACCCCTTGGTTGCCATAGGACCTGCGAATTGACAGGAAGGCGCGCAATGATCCTTAGTGCTTCAAGCGGCTGAACATCTTGTGTAACCTTGATAGACACTGAGTTGACTTGTTGCATGATCCGAAGTGTGCGGAACGGACTGTCTGGGGTGCTCCAGTTGACTGTTGGTGAGACTTCTATGCGGTCAATAGTCAGTAGGTCCGGGTCTTCGTTTTGCTGCGTGGACGCATTTTGATTGGTAAAACGACTGGCTAGCAAGTCCTCGACAAGCCACGTTGGTACCTTGGACCACGTCACACTTGCTAGTTGCGCTATCCCGTTTAGGAGGCACAGCATAGCATGGGGAACTGACACCGCGTTACCCATAATGTGGTATGCAACCCTGGCATCTGATGGAAGGACGCACTTGTGTGAACACCCGAAGAGGAAGACAGTTTCAGTAATCGACAAAAGTCGGAGACGTCCATTGTGTAGAACGTATGCTCCTAGCAAACCACCTGCTCTGAGGGTCTCATCGGGTAGTTCGTGGGAATACCCGTAGTTGGCCATGATGCACGGGTGAAAATCGTGTCGAGACTTTACGCGACATTGGCGAACCTGGGTCGGTGTGGTCCCAGTTTGCTTAGGGAGATAGCTGTACTTGAAGTATTTGTCGAAGTCTTCTGCAGTATGGACCGTGGTAAACTGGTGGCTAATGTCCTCATCTGGAAGTAGGATGCTACTCATAGTGGGTGTTGTTGGCAGTTTGTTCCACCTGGCACACATCATGCGTTCCACTCTTTCATCTCCTACACGGACAGCAACGACCATCAGTCTGGAACGAGAATGTGGCAGAACGTCCAACAAGTTCAAACTTTCGGCCCACTCTACTTTGTACCCTGCCCACTGCAGCACCGCCAGGAACCAGCGAACGTGTTGGTGTGTGAGAAGGGTTGCGACTTCCTCCAGGCAAATCACAGCAGGACGGAGGTAAATGCACTGGATCATTGTGTACAATAACAATCTACCGTCCGGTGATTCTAAGCCCCTCTCTTTTCCGGCTCTGCTCCAAGGTTGACACGGGGGGGAAGCTGTCATGATCTCGATTGGCGGTACAAGCTCGAACCACCAACTTTGTTCGACTTTTGCAGTAATTGTCATTGGGCACTCTGGTTGACTGGAAATGGACTTAAGTTGCAGCGCTTGTTCAACTGAGTGTATCGGTGGTTGCGCAGCATGGTTCCTAGCATGGTTCTTGGCAATAATGGCATCATGTTCTACTGAGTAGACGTGCTGTACTGGCAAGTGGGAATCCTTAAGTCCTTTCAGTGCATATGACCAGCCAGAAAAACCTCCTGCGAATACTTCACCCACCCGAATAGTGTCACCCGAAGTTGCTTGCGGACGTACTGGCATGATTCCTGACTGTGGTGTTCTCAAATCAATGATACTTCTACCGTCGATCCAAATCAATCTCGCTTCAATGACAAACATAATGGCCTCCGGTCCCGTGTTGTCCCATACGTGTTTGGGAAGTGCTGCAAATGTGAAGCTCGACCGCTTGTGTGCACACGGGGGCCAGGAACAGTCCATATCTCCGATGTTAGCTTGAAAGCCTCTGGATGGGGCCATCACCTGGCATGAGACTAGTGCAAACTCGTACCAGTCTTGCACGTACTGATTCAGTTTGATTTGTGCAGAAAATGCTTTAGTATGGCATGCGCACAGTGCATCTACCGGTGTATGTGTCCTGGCAAAGTTGCATATCTCTTGTTGTGCATGATGTGACAGTGGCGGCAATTTCATTCCTGGGTACCATAGATCTTCGAGTCCGTTTCCACATTGGAACGTCAGTGCGGGCCCGTGCATTAGGATATGTTCAATGTACAGGACTCGTGTGGCAAAGGCTATACGAAGAAGCTCTTCATCCTGTGTGACTGTTGACCATGCCTCATATGCGCTTGTGAAGATATAGGGTATCTGCACAACTTCGGCGAAACGGCTAAGGCCATGGATTGCGTCACTGCAATGGATGGTGTCTGCAACGCCGCATGCTCGAAGGACATCTTGGAGGACTGCAAAACCACACATGCGCCAGGGACTGGGACGCTGCACCCGATGAGCTCTAAGATGCTGCAGATCGAAGTGTGCAAACCTGGCCAGAGCGTGCAAGAAACCCGTAAAAGACTGAGGGTCATCTGCTGGGAACCCGAATGTTGAGACAAAGGTCTGGTTGCCCTGCCGACGAAGTTGTACTAGGTACCAATGGTCGTGGCTCAACATTGGAATCATGAAGGTTCCGTCTTGCTCCCAGTTAACCCCAGCCTCGCCTATGATGTGCATGATGTGTTGGTCAACTACCCACATACTGCAAGGCACAATTGTGATGTGTGTGACTAGGTGACGGTAGAATTCCAAGACAAAATCTAGCTCATCTGATGCCGCTTGTGCAGGTGCTATCGTGTAGGCGTCCAATCTCTGCATGACAGCATCTGTAGTAAAATCAATTGCTCGAAGGCTTACCCTTGGCCTCGGTTCTAGCGAGATGGCGGTTTGGACCGGGAGCGTCCTCTGTTCTCTCTCTTGCCCAGGCAAAACTTCTTGGTACATGGTGGTCTCATTGTGTGGGCCACCAGATGTCTCAGTTTCATCATCAGGAGAGCTGCTCTGAACAGCTACTTCATGGGTTGATGCGCGACTGGTATGATCGGTGTCATGAAGTTCGGACGAATCGGTTTGGGTGTGAGATGTGCTCATGCTTGGCACCGTTCTAAACACTTCCAGTGGCTGCCCTGATGCATAAATGGCGATACTGTCCAATCTGGCATGTATGCCTGAGTCGAACTGTAAGAGGTTGATCAAAAAGGACATTCGGAATGTGTATGCTACTTGCTGTAGATCATGTGAAGCCGAGGTTTCACTCCAGGCATCTAGCGATCTCTGCAAACTTCTGTGTACAATTCTTCGGTTGAGGTCTGACAAGGACGCCATCCTGTGAAGTACATCGTTGAATGCCCCTTGTGTGTGTGTAAGTACGACCCAGCGGTATGCCAAGGACCAACCGCACATATCTGGGATCATCTGCTCGAGGCCAAAGGTTATGTGGAGCCTATGGGCTGGTATTTGCAGCATGTGGCACACTAGGAAGATGACTCGATTGTGAAGAGCGGATGGTGCTTGCAGAATGCATACTTCTGGTCGGTCATGTTGTCTATCCACCTCGATACCCAGCCAGTGGGATCCGAACAGCACTGGAATCAGCGTTATTCCATAATTAGGGATGTAGCATTGGTCACTTTCGAACTGAAAAACATCCAGTATGGGCAGATATTGTGCCGTCGGGAGGAATGTGTATGCAGACCCGGGTCGAGACATGCGGAGGACGATGTGCGACATTTCATCTGTGGCTAGCCAACCCTGCGTCTCATGCATAAACTGAATCCTCTGGCCTAGTGTCGCATTCGCATGGAGCGAGGCAGTCCTGCAACTTGTCCATGTAGGCGCACCTCCTGCTGAGATCTGATGTCTTACTTCGAGCTTGGATTGCATAAAGGCATCTATGTCGGCAAAACAGCTGCGGTCAGTATTCAGATCGCCTGGCGGGGACGGTTCATTGCTCCCTGTCCCGTCTTCTCCACTGGATCGTGGGAGGCCGTCTGAACTTGAGGGCGGTTCATTTCTCCCTGCCCTATCTTGATATTTTTCTTGTCCATGCAAGGACTCAGGGGAACAGGGTAGGGATGTTTCAAGCGGCATAGGTGCTGCTTTTGCACGAGTACTCGGGGACATCTCTTCAAAAGGAGGTGATTCATTGCTGGGCTCTACCTCATCTTTTCGTTTCTTGAAATTCAGGGGATCACTCGAACGGCATTCTTGCACTGGTTCACTTTTCCAATGGCGAGTATGCCTTGGTTGTGCAGGTCCCTTGTGCACCCAATGCTTCAGCATATTTCGCCTCCAAGGCGTGCAGATCGAGGATGCTTCGTACTTCCTGGCAGTGCAATTTCTATGGATACTCTTGATATCGGAGAATGATGCTCCTAGGTACACAGCCCACAATGTCCATGCCAGACATTGAAAATGTAGTAGAAAGTCTTCGCTTTCCAGTAGGTCGTCTGCTTGCGTTACAACCACGGCCGCAAAGGCTAGTATTACACCAGCCATGTCCATGTTCACTGTCACTGGGGTTGGATCTTCCTGCTTGCCTTCATCCACCTTATCCCACACTGCAACCCCTGTCATACCGCAGACTGTAGGCAGCAAAGCCACGAACCAATGATCTGGTCGGTCAATGATTAGGCGTTGCAGGGTATGCGGCTGGATCTTCATGATGCGACTCGACATGCCATCCTTGGACGCTACCTCGATCAGGGTGAAGTCGTGACACTCCACTAGGACCTTAAAGGTGCGAACCGAGAAAGCTTGTACCTTGGTGTTTTGTAGCAAGCGTGTACACGATGGCTCTGGTGCTAGGTTGACAACAGCTCGATCAGGATTTCTCCATGGCGTGGCCCAACTCGCACCCGGGGCCATTCCCCTGGTGACAGGCATGCCAACCCGTAGGAGAGGGCTTGAGCCTCAATGCCTAACATTAATGGATTGTTGATGTCCACTTCGTGAGCACGCGCCGCGTCTTAAACGCGCAAATATTCTATCTGCTTGAGAATGGCTGCAAATGGGAAGTGACGAGAGATGCTGGGGGAAGGTTTCCAGCAACAGGGGCAAAGAACCTGCAACAGCGTAAGTACGGTACAGTATATATGGATGTCACCATTCACCATGCATATCTCTACATCTTAAAAGCAAATATGAATGCATAGCTGCAGTGTATGTATGTATGTATGTATGTATGTATGTATGCATGCATGCATGCATGCATGCATGTATGTATGTATGTATGCATGTAACTATGCAAACATATGATACCAGCGTTCCACTCCACCAGTCCCACGGGGCGCCTGTGACCCCCGGCCACCTTTGCCTTTGCCGCCTCGGATCGCGACACGGGCCCTTTCCACGGCCAACGCTGGCGCTCAGCTTGGAAAGCAGCACTGCTGTGCTGGTTGGACAATCAGAGACAACTCCTAGATCGTCAGATCGACCAATCATAAAAGGATTCGCCCCAGACCTCAACCAACATGTTTCTTCCCAGCGACGAATTCAGGCACATCAAGGAAAGAAAGGAGAGATTGAACATCGCGGCATGGTTGAGCCTACATTGAGGGGTGCATCTCAAGTGCTCCCTGTCCAATCCACCCACCCGAACCACCGAAGAAAACGCGTTGTCTTTTTTCCCCTCTCCCGGTCCCGCAATGGAGAACGGCCGGCGTGTCATGCCAGGCCCTCAGGGCCACGTGGTGTGACCTTCACCTGGGGGAGCGGTCGGATGGTCGGACCGTCCACGGACCGTCCCACGCTGTTCGGGGGAGAAACGAAGGATTCAGAGTTGTTGACACAACGGGTGTGGTTTGGAAACGACATGGGGAAATGGATCTGATGAATTTGGATGTTTGGTCTTTGACATAGGCATTGGCAAATATATGGCTCAAATGATCTCAGATTCATATCGGTATTGAAATCTGTTGTCTATGCAAATTTGGACATCATTTGGACATCTACCCCCGAGTTGAGTAGCTCGGGTAATTTGGACCTAATGTGGGTTTCTAGATCCAAAGGTGACGGTATACCGTAATGGACCATTATGAATGGTTCATGACCTGAGTGTCCATGTATGCCTGCAGTGTGTAGATGTGGCAGAAGACTCCTGATTGCCTGCAGCTCTACATATCTACATCTCATGTTGTATGCTGACCAGGGTCTCCTCAAGATCTCATCTAAATGTTCGAGTTTTTGGTGACACCCCTATCGTTGGATCCAACGCTAAGTCAATGCAGAATCGGCCCTCTTGAGTGAGTGACCCGGAGAATGGGCTTTTCCTGCCATGATTGTCCACTTCAATTCAAGTCCGGATGCGACATGAATCGATCAATGACCCGAGTCATGGTTGTCAAGAGCTGAACACAGCGACTTACTGCCAAATATAATCAATGTGTCCGAGACTTTCCAATAAACATATTACCAAGTTTGCACATTCATTGTATATATATATATAATAAGCATATGGACCCCACTTCCTCATTGGAAAGGATCCGCTTCCACCTGGAAGTCCATATATATATATACACATATTGTTATTCCTATATACTGGTATTTGTTCTTATTGTATCATTTAATGGATGGTCTGGAGTCTTGGATGCCTGACAATCCTTTGGGTCTGAAACAAGCTCAGTCAGGTGTGTCCCTGCGTCAGGTGCTCCGCCACAGGCGCCCTGCCCAGTGGCTGACCGCCAGCGCCCTCGCAGCAGAACTTGCCCCGCAGGCGCGCCAGGCAACTTGCTCACTTGGCCACAGGTGGTGATGTGCACCTCGACCTGGTCGATCTCATTTTTTGCGCCGGGGTCTGTAGAGATTCTGAAATCTTTTCTCAGTAGGAGCTGTAAAATGCTAAAATTTCTAAAATAGAAATCAGAACTAGATAGAACTAGTAACTAGAACTACTCATAGTAATCTGACACCCTGGCCGCCACAACATCCCATCATCCCCATGTATGTGCTTTTCCTAAGAAACACACCATTCGTTGATGAATGCTGATCAATTGGGGGTCTGTCTATGTCAGGCTTCCCGAACTGCCGAAATCGCCCCACGACTTGCGAGTTCACCGGGTGCGGTGCCTGGGGAGAACTCTTGGCCTTGGAATAGAAGGCGCACAGCTCGGCGGCCGTTTGGACCACATCCTGAGTGCTGGCCCGGCCGAGCCGGTGGCGCGGTTGGCCCGGGCGGGTTTGGAGATGGGCAGTTCTACCAGGCTACGTTCGTAGCGTCCTTGCTCCGTTCGTAGCGATGCCAGGAGCCCCTACAGTAGTATATATAGCTTCTTTTTCCTAGTAGTAATGCCAGGAGCTACTAGTCGCAAATGAATGACATAGCATGTCGCAGTCACAAGTTGACGTGAGAAAAGTGAGGATGCAAAGATTTCTTTGGGCATGGTCTTGGGTGCGGTCGGCCTTCAGCTTTGCACATCTGTTGCTGCTTGCTGCTGCCTACAAGCTTCAAACTCTTCTGACTTCCCACAACTGCCGCAGTTGTAGTTTCTAAAGTCCGTTGCCCACAGCTCGAGATCGATTAGGCTCCAGTGCAAGTAATTGATGCACTTTGCAAACTCGCTTGGCAATGGCCCCATCTCCTTCTCTGTTTATCTCTCAGCTTTCCTTCTGCTTTTATCTTAATTTTCTGCAGAACGCCCGTGGTGCCATCGACACAGAATATATATATATATATGTGTTTGTCTTCAGTTTTGAATTTCTGATGAAGTGTACCCTTCCAACAACTCCCTCCACCCCTGTCACACCAAGGCTCCCTGGGAGGTTGCGAGGCCCTTGGCCAATGGCGGGGTGATCCCAAACCACAAGACTGTCTAGAAGTCTAAGACTTCAACCCGCAAACCTTTGGCACGCTTCAGATTTGGAAACACCTGGGGCGAAACATGTCTGAAGGCACTCAACGCAGGTTCCCCAAAGAGCTATGTAAGTTAATTATATGTCTCATGAGAGGCAAATCTGCCAACATTTGCTCATGCTTCCCATGTAAAGTGGTAGATCCGTAGTTCTTGTGGCAACAGCATTCGTTGACTCCGTGGGCAACTGAGTGAGACCCGGTTCTGGTTGACTCTGTGCTCTGGCCTAAAACAATAGATAAGCCAAAAGTTTTGGAAGGCCAATTGTTACACCCTGCGTGCGTGACATGGAGGGAGAACCATTGAGACCACCAGATTGAACTTACTCATTGAGATCGTGGAGCTGGGACACACAGGATTGATCGACTTGCAACAGGTGTTGAAATGTCTGGACATCACGGGTCGAGGGCCTGCTGCTTGGACTCAGAACGATGCACTGACAGGCAGGGACTGGGAGCAATGATTTGTCCAAAAAAACCAACGAAAACTTGGATAGGTCATCGGTAAGCCAAACAAATATCGTAAATAAATATTGGTCCAGTCACTGCCAGTCACCTCCATATTTGTTCCCAACACAACACCTTCGACAGCACCTTGTTGTTTTCCTACACATTATCTTCAAGATCCCCAACTTGCTGCTAACATGTCCCAGCTTGGAGTCCAAGTCGAAATCAGCACCTCAACGAGAGATATGATTTGCACAAAACACATGGCACTGGCACTGCCCGGCACGTGCACATGGCTTCAACTCTTGCAGATTCGAAGGCACAAAATTACGATGATAAACTCATCCCCCTGTGGATTCATATTTCCATATGTATGAAACCGTTTTATAGGAGGACCCCCTAATTTCATACTGGGTATGGGAAGGGGTATATAAACTCCATCCAGTCCTTTTCCATCTTGTTCTTTCGTAGACCGATCGGCATCGGACCCCCCACATGGCCAACCTGTGACTTGAAAAAAAAACAAAACACCAATTGACCGCCTCCCTAAGGATTCCTGATTCCGGTGGCTCCATGGATTCTGGAACCCACGGGGGGTCCCCTTGCAGTATCAAACCTGGAACCTGATGGATACGATCCACGTTGGTCACTGGGACAGTCGAGCAACTCCTGCCATGACTCAGTGGCCCGCACCACCACGTGCGAGCCCGGCACGGAGGCCGCGTGCATCCATACCTGGGAACCGTTTCGAGTGCTAAGAGTTCAACAATTGTCAGCACAAATTACATGTTACTACATGGATCTGCATAACTCTCTGCATAGTATTCATGATTCATAGTGAATGTCATGTCAATTCTCTGCTTTATGGGCGGGTGGCCACACGACCACCCCGAACCACTCAAAAACGAATGAAACAACCGGGCCTGCCTCGTGTTTCTGACCATGTTCCAAGGACAAGCGGTCGTTCTCCGCGGCACTCTTCCCAATCAAGACCTGCCACGCCAGTGGTTCCAGGCTGTTCCAGGTTCTAAAGTGACATGACCTGGAAAGGAAAGAATGTTCAAGAAGTTGTGGATAGTCCGGGACTAGAGCATTTGTTAATGATGACAATGTTGTTTATATAATGTTTTTTTATGTGTTGTTGCTCGGAACTGGTGCCCCAGCTTCCATGTCAATTCGTTCGAGCATGATCAATCCAAAATACACCCCCAACACAAACTGCCATGCCATACGGGTGCTTTCGCTCAAACCATCTCAAACCCATTGCCCGCCAGACCTGCCAAGAGCCTCCGTCAGTTCCAGTCACCATCACCGAGCGGCAGCCTGTTCTCCGCTCCGGTGGAAGACTGTCGAAGGGGGTCGCCGCGGCGGAGAGCGAGGCATGGAGAGCGAAGTATCAGGTTGAAACAAATTCACCAAGAAAACAATATTGTTACGAGTAGCTTCTTGTTACATCTTGTTACTAGTGGTGCTGCCCTTGTTACTAGTAGCGATGCCCTTGTTACTATATAATAAGTCAAGTATTTGCCTCAAAGCCTCAAAGTCTCTTTATGTCACTCGTTACGGAGAACTTGAAAACAAACCACAAATAGCTGGCTCATGAGGGCACAATAGCTGCGTCACAAGGAATTGGAACCAAGGGGGGCGAGGTCGGCTTTGTGAGCTCCTCGCTCAACTGCTCAGAAAAGAATGGGAACATGTTGACCCACGATGCTTGAAAAAATGTCTTGGACATGTTGATCAGCCAATCCGATTGATGGTCACCAAAAGTCTACTGGTGCTCTTTGAGGCATTCCTCTTGATTTACTCATTGTTCACATATGTTCACATATGTTCACATCACATGTATGGGGCAGAAAAAGACTCGGGCTGCCCCAATAATTAGAAACCATCTCCGCCCACCGGCCTTTGGGCGTGATCAGCTTCGGAGGTGCTGTCTTGGTCGGCCGTTTCCCAAAGCCCTGCGGCCGTGCGGGTCGCGGTGCTCGAGTGGCGGTGGAGTCGCGGTGCCTCCGATGTTTCTCTCGATCTGATCCTGCACTCCCCTGGAATCACAGAACCGTTCCCTGAGTTCACTTGACTTCCTGAAGCTTGCTGTATATATGTTATAAATATATATATATATATATCATATATGTTTTCTGGATGCTTCGGGTCACAGCAACTAGGACTAGGCCTTGAACGGGAACCCTTGGAATCCAAAAATAGATGCACACTTCAGCAAACACTGCCGACAAATGGCCTGCAAATCCCTGTTGGGAGTACACATTGACAATCCATCTTTGGTCCATATATGGTGGTTGATCAAAAATTATTTTTGCTGAAAGGCCATTCTTCGCACTATCTCTGGCACTACCTCGGGCCAGTCCAAACATTTAGACTTCAGTATCAATGACATGTTGATGTTCTCAATGGTAGCTGAACTTCTGGAGGTATGTCAATCCTTGCCATGGGAGTGATTCAGCAATACCAGTACAGGTTAGTGAGTCGGTGACGCAGGATGACCAATGTTTAGTCTTGGTCTGCACTTGAAGATGATGTTGCAAGCCAAACATGTGTGGACTAAGTAAACTGGTCCATCCATAGCAAAAAGGGCTTCAAGAACAAATCATTGTGTTTTGAACAATCAATGTTTAGAGTCTAGAGTTTAGGATGTGATATGATGTGTGTTTGGTGCTGGCCTGCTCTGAAAAAGCATGCACTCGCTAAGACGCGTTCTCAATTCATGTTCAAAACGAACCCCTGACGGACCAGAAGAAAAAGATTAAAAAGCAACGGCCTTGGCTTTTGCTGCTCGAGGCACCTTGCCGGCGGCCTGCGGGTGAGAAAAGAGTGGAGTCCAACGAGACGCACAACATCCTGTGGGACCCAAAACGTCTCTCTGCCTGGACGTCAGGGTGTCCAATGGACTACCCCACACTACCTATGTAGGCTTCCATTGGGCACCCCTTGGAGGGTCCAGGCACATCTGGATCTACTCACAGGCCAACAAATGTAACAATATCCGGATCGCGCCAAGAAGCAACATATTGCGAAGATATGTCAGGTCCAACCATCTGTCAGGAATTCCAGTATCAACTATCCACATTGTGCCATTGTGCCCACGTAATCCACCTTCTGTCACTTGAGGCTCAAGCGCAGGACATCCAATCCTGTCACTCAGCATCCTCACCAACAAGCCAACCAACCACAGCTCACCAAAGCCGCCCAGTGCAGTGCAACCTTTTTGACCGGGTCAATCATGGATCATCGGAGCATAGAAAGAAGATCTGCATATCCAAGCTGGGCCTTTGTCATGCTGCATTTGTCCACGAACATTCATCTGTTCATTGATCTGCGCGAATTCTTGTGTTCCAATCGCCCTTCTGGTCCTAATCTTGGGCAACCAAAGCGCTGATGTCCACATGTCCACACGGGAAAATAAATAGCGACACGAGGCTCCCGCCTGAGCTCGCGCCTGAGCAGCGCCGAAGTGAGGCCGCGCCAGGTGTGCAAAGCCGCAGGAGGCTCCACCTTTGGCCATGAGTGTCGTCCAAAGATCGAGCTCGGCTCGCTCGCGTTATATATCTGGGACAGGAGTTTGCAGTCTGTAGCTGGGTCCACAGGGGGCCGGAGATATGATCGGAACCAAAATGCAAGCCTTAGTAACTTAGAGAGAACGACAATTCAAACCCTCGACGAACTGCTCTATTCACTCTTCAGAAAGCCGCTGCTGGGCACATGTGGTGCTCATTGAGCAAGTTGGTCAAGTTTGCAGAAGTAGGAAGTTCTATGGAAAATGACGGAGCGCCTGAAGTGATGGAACTCTCACATTTACTGAAGCAAAAGCGTGGCGAACCTTTGTTCTCAGTGTGCCCAATTCTGTTGTCACATCATCATCTCTCTCAGCCTCTCCCGGGTATATCGTACCCCATGCATCCCCATGCAAACAGCATTAAGGTGTTTGCACTCGATGCAAGGCGAGATACCACCGTTCGGCTGTTTTCCAGCCTGGCCTGCCCACCGCGGCCGCCAATGCACCACCAGCGCAGTTCCGGCCAGGGCCGTGAAGCGGCGCAGGAAGGCCATGGCAGTGAGTGAATCGATAAAGTCACCAAGCACAGGACTTCCGTCAGGTGGCGGCTCAGAATCTGGTGAAAAGGGACTCATGGGACAATGCAAGACCTGCTATACAAAGATCTCTTTTGAGATTTGTTGAGGTTCTTTTTGCGGTGTTTTCTGCTTCCCCTTACTGAAGAAACAGGTCAAGTGACCGTTTGCAGGTCGCTTAAGCGGCGTAGCACCAGCATCAGGAGGGAGGTGTTTTGATCACTAAGGCTTAAGGAATGTCTGGAATCCACCCTCTTAGGGTCCCAAAACCATTTCTTTTTGCCTCCCAATGTCTCAGCCAGCTGGTTGCATCGAGTTGCTTCCACGTTGAAGCAACCTCTGCCTTTTGCCATTATGGGTTTGATGACCACCTGCTTTTGTTGGCCTTACCAGGTCCATTTTCTGAGCCGCTCAGATCAACGCCTGGCCCCCCCGAACGGTCCGGCAGAAAAGAAACCGTTCGTTTTGGTTCCATCTGACCCTTTGGGGTCGATGGAATCGGGTTTTCGGATCTCTGCCCGTTTTGGGTGGAATTTGGGGCACCCGTTGACAAACCGGTTCGCCTCTAAACAAAGAAGGCGCTCATGTGCAAAGGCCCGAGTCCCTTTTCGCCGATTCCAGGGAGGGATGGTTCAGGGAACTGCCTGACTGAGGAATAGTTGGTGTCATGCCAAAAATCGCCGGCGACATCTTCCCCTCAGCGCCAAACCCCAAAAGGAGCTTTTTACGTATCCATGTTGCTGTCATCCCATGGCACCATGCAAATATTGATATTGATCCTCTGCTCTCTACACGATATGGGGTTGGGTCCGAAGACCTATGGATAAAACAGGGGGGACGCTGTTTAGCGTGTTTAGCCATAAACTTTTGGACGCAACCCCATTTGTTGCACACAGGGGCCCATGGCTAAACAAAAATGTACCCAACCTCTTTTTGGCTAACCAATTTAGCCATACCTGATAGGCCAAAGCTAAAATTAGAGGTACCCAACAACAGCCACATGTACACATCTGTATTTCCTCAGCATCCATCAACGAGCACGAACATTCGAAAACCATCTCATTGCGAGAGTGGCAAAAGAAAGATCATGAACATCTATCAAAAGCACTCGTGGGGTCACTCACCACATCTCAGGACCATCCCGGACGGTCGGTCTCACCACCCCCGGTCGGTCTAAGAACCCCCGAATCGGGCAAGGCACCCTCAAAGCCCAAAAGCCGCGCGGCCTTGGTGAACCCAGGTGTTGCGATGTGGGATGGTCCAACCTGGTAGGTCTGGTAATTTCAAATGATTTCAAAGGTTTTGTCCATGGCGGCCAAATGGACCAATGGTGTCAGCCATATGTCCCGAAAATCATGTCCCCAACCTGACACTCTTGCGAATCCAGACCTGGGGCTTCATCTTGAACTTCAAACTATGTTGAATTGTCTTTCCAGCTTTGGGTCTATAGAGTCTAGCCAGTTGCCTGCCTACTGTATACTACTAGCACCCAAATCCAAGTCAACATGATAAAACATCCAGAGTCGCAAAGTTATTGCTTGTGTTTTGTGGTCTGCTTGTGTTCTGTCTATCCCCCAAGAATCCCCGGCACCGTGACCAAGCCACGTAGGCTTGGGACTCTGCGAAGCGCCGCAGCTCCGCCAACCTCAGGGGGTAAACCCCGCGTCCACGCGAAACTCCGTGGGAGTTGGGGGGGCCTTTTGGGACATTTAACTATTCCCCTTTATCAAAAAACACCCCTTGATCAACCCTTTTCTTCCCCTTTTCCCCCTCTTTTTTTGGCACCAAACAACAAAATCATATGCAAAATGGTGCAAGGCTAGGTCTACATCACGGCGATGACCTAGAAGGTGACCTCAACCAGCAATCCAGCCAGTAAGGTATAGCAGGTCGGTCTCTTGGTTGGGATTGGGATGAACACTATTATATAATATGCTCCCCAAAAAAGTAAACGTGGGGAGCTAACCACTCTCATCCAGTTCATCAAACTCAATTCAGGCCAGGCCACCGTCTGGGCTCGTCATTAGCATATTTCAAGTTGATTTCCTCGGCCGCAACGACAAGGAAGGTGTGGAAAACATGGATGGGACATTGTACAGTACCTTCATTGGAATCAACGATGATCCGAGTCGTGGTGAATGCCAACTCTCACACACACACACAAATGGCCTAGATTGGTTAATGGGAGACCGGAGGCCGCGCTTGGCGCGCTCTTTTTAAATCTTTTTAAGGTGTTTTTCAGGCGAAAGGTCGTTCCAAGGCCAAGCTCGATATGGACTGCGACGAAGGACGCCAAGCTCCGTAGGTCGCTTGGTCGCTCGAGATTCCCTTGGCTTCGCATCTTCTCGCTCGTTCTGGGACGAAGCCACATCTTCAGCCGGGCTAGTCCGCGTGTTAGCTATTGGGCGAGAACAACGAGAGGATTTAACTCAAGGCTACATCTACACGTCCCAACCAGCAAACATAAATGACCACACCCCGGTGAACCAAGATGGGAAATCCAGCGATGAGTGACACACATGGCCTGAACCAGTCGAGAAAAAACAACTTTCCGGAAACAATGTCCCTCCAACAAATTGGGGAATTACTGCCACGTTACCAATCCAAGCTGCACTTTGCTTTACAATTCACAAAATTGGGTTGATGATGGTCCTGCCCGTCCAAAAGGTTTCTGCATGACGCATGACTCTATCCGCCAGCCCGCCAACGGGCGGAGATTAGATTAACAATGATTGACACACGCGGGCCGGTGCATGCTTAGAGCCCCACCTGGCAAACGATGAACTTCAGCTGTACATTCCCGCAAAGCGAAAAGTTGAGGATGAGTTGGTCACAGGCTTGGCCCGCCGTGATTTATGGACGTATATATATATATATATATATTTGGAGCTTGTTGCCAACGGTTGGCCTGACTACGGCTTTTTTGGGCGGTTCTTTTGTTGGACTTGCATCGGCGTAGCTTGATAGGGTGCCAGGCACCGAGGTGGAGAACGAACCAGGCTTGACGACGAACCAAACTCTGCAAATTGCAAGCCGATCTGTGTCTGCGCATGCTCTACGGATATCACGTTGCCTCCCTAGAAATGGTTCATGTCTCCACTGCCGTGCCCAAGGACTCTAGTCTTGAATTCCTCCCAGCAAACTTGGTATAAAAAAATGCAACAACTGGTGCTGTAGATCGCATAGTTAAAAACCCGAGAACTCAACTCCCCATAGTTAACGATAGTCTTCGAGCGCTGAGTCTTAGGCCGGTCAGCCTATGCCCTGGCCAATAGCGGAAACTTGTTTGTGCATGTCAGGCTGCAACGGAGGTGCTCCTTAAAAACCCTCCATGAAATGAAGGGACTAAGTGTGAGCATCTCTTAAACCCTTTCCCGAACCCCTAGTGAATGGTGATGACTCAGTTCTTTTGGGGTTCTCAATTTGGGTTTGAGTCGGTCAAAGCCGATGTTGACCATCTAGCACTATACAGTGGCTAATCGCTTGACGGGTGCACTGAGGTCATGTCACTTGGACCATCCTGAGCACAACCCCTCGATTTACTTCTGGAAAAAGCGCCAAAGTGGAGCAAAACTCGGCACATAAGTTAACTGTTGGAGCGGTTTGGCAAGGTCTCTGACAATATATTGCCATTTGACCCTTAAAAGCCTGAACATGCTTTTAAACAAAAGCATGTGCTTGCTAGTTATAAAGGATCTCGGTCACATCGAATAAATGGCACAGCGTATGATAGTATGCCCCCCTTGTTCCATCATATCCAGGCTGTTGGCTGGCTTAGTCAATCTTGGTGAGCAACTGGGTACTTTCAGCATCCACCTCGACTCTAGTGATGGATTGTGGGCACCGAAACCATCAATCACACAGGAATCTATCAACCTATTATCTCTTGAGCCGAAAACAAAGGACATCACTGTTCAAAAGGGTGGAACAGTTTGGCCAGTCTCCGATGTTATCAAGTACAGCGGGCTTCAAAATGCAATAGAGTCTCCAATCTCCAAAAAATCCATTGTGGTGAACATAATCTCAATTCCCACTCATCATTGTTGGAAGCAAGTGGGTACGGTACGGTAGTTTCTTTCGCTGTCTCCAATCGCTTACGCACATTACATGGGGCTCCTATATGTGAGTTCACCCGGCAGATTGTGGCGAGTCACACTGGGTTGCAAAACGGGCCACACTCGGTCTACGACCCAAAAAAGCCTCAGACCCGGCCCTCATTGGTCCGTCTATCCCTAGAATTTGTGTTCACTCCTTTGTCTATATATCCGTGGGATTCCAACAACCATTGTCTTAATATATATATATATACATATTTATGACTCTATTACTGTCTTTGCCAAAGAACTATTGTTCTATACTCCTTTTTTGGACTACAAAACCAGGTCAACTATCATTTTAACGGTCTTTGAAGGCTGGTCAATACTATGCTAACTCTACACGAATACATAATACGCACACACACACACACCTGTATATATATATATTATATATACAGTACACTATATAACTATGTATGCACTATATACTCACAAGACCTTGGACCTTCTTCTCAAGACATCACCAACGCCTGGCAGGTCGCAGTTCTCACTGCGCCACCGCCCAAAACCGCTCCTTCCCCCCTGCACCGGTCGGGGGCGCGAGCGCCGGGACTCCCGCTCTTCGGCTCCCGGTCGGCCCCCTCCCACGGTGTCTGTTCAGGGCGTCCGTGGTCCTCCTTTGGAGGGGTGTCAGCTGTTATCCCACCACTGAGTTTGCGGAGGGGTTGGAAAATGGACCCAGACAGGTGACCATGTTCTCATCATCATGCCTGGAACATTCTGCTGTTGAAACCGGGAGACCGTTGACCGTTGACCATCGCACAGTTCTTCGCAATATATAAGGCATAGAGGCAAAAAATGAAAAAACAAGTGAGGAGGCGGACAAAAAAAAACATCGACATTGGCCCAAAACAACCATGACCTACCGACTCCGCTGTGGTGTGCAGTGGCACACGGGAAAGCAACTCATCAGCATTTGCCGAATGGCTGCCGAGCAAAGCATTACAAAGCCTTCCAAATGGCCCCCCCTTCCGAACCGAGTGCTGTTGAACATGCCTCAGCAAGTCTGCAAGATCCAAAGATAAATGTGGAACGGAATCAAAGCAATTGCTGTCAACCTAGCCTTCAGGTTGGCAATGGAAGCTGCAGGGTAATTATCATGTATATATAATGCGCCGGCTTATCAAAAAAATACTGTAGCATCCACGTCTTCACGCTCACAGCAAGCACCTCTGGCTCACAGCATCAAAAACTATGCCATGGGACCATCCTCTTGTAATCATGTGGGATCAAGCTGGTACAGTCAGGGCAAACCCTAAAGGCATTGAAAGAACATGAGAACCGTTACTTTCCTCTAAAAGATTCATCTCCGCCCAAGCTCGCTAGCTTGGGCTGGCATCGCTTGACGCGTCACAACATATTGATCATATTGAACCTGAAAGCTCTTGACCTTGGACTACTCCACCAATCTCTTCACTCTTCCGGGGAGGGGCCAGCCTGGAGACTGGGTCATAACGTTCGTGAAACCCGTCCTTCGTGTTCTCGTTCGTCGCAACCAGCCCCGGCTGCCCCTTGGCAGGCCAGAGGCCTGGCACGCGAGAGGCGCCTTGATCTCCCAGTGGATCACCATGTCAGGCAGAAGCCAATGTGGAAAACCAGTTAGACTCAACTCGGCTTACTCTTCTCAGGTGGTGGTTCTTACAGGATGAACATGGAGACGCGTCTCAAATAAATATGACATGCATTGGCCAAATGCTTTTCATGGCTGGATTCACTGGGTAATAGGAGCTTCGCCCCTCCCGTCGGCAAGCTAGAAAACAAGCATCGTGAGGCATGGACATGAAAACACATTTGGGATGGAAAGCCGGAAGCTTGTCAAATCTATGCGGCTATATACATGGCCGAAAAATAGCAACATGCTTATGCCCACACTGGATGTTAAAGAAAGTTACAGCAAGCAATCATGCGCAATGTTGACAATTGCTCATGTGTTCAAATGCTTCTTCCAATGCTCATCGCCAGCGGTGAGGTCGTTTATAAGTCGCTCGCACCTTGAAGCTGCTAATTGCAGAGCTAGCCGCCAAGAATGAAAGGTCGAATGAGAAGAATGTGTTGGCAGTCCATAGTCTACCAACAATAGACAATGACCATATGCAACGCAAAACTGGTCAAATTGGGGAATCCCCTAACTGCTGGGTGAACTCATCACACTGTTGACCTGTAGGAGGGTCTTTAAGCCTACCTTGACATGTATAAGTCTATCAAATTAGTTATTGATTGGAACATCTGATTTCCGTGGAGCCTAAGAAACCCCGTCAAGGTGTGCATTTCCTGTACCCACCCGCTTTCTCTGCGCACGGCATCGACCAATCAGCTGCGATCACTATCGCCGCTCAGGTGGGAGGGACACTATTGACCGAAAGCCTGGGCTCCTCCTTGACCTGCCGACCAGAGCGAACCACCAGAGCGAAGCTGGACGAGTGCAAACACATAGAGGCCCCCTCTGAAGGGAAACAGTTAGAGAGGCTAGGATCTTTGTGACGGGCAAACTGCTATAAAATATCCAAATACCAGATCACGCAAGCTGCAACCACAAAAAAGAAGTGTCTTTGAGAAGGATCAACCACTGGGACTGTGACTGAGACTACTTTGCGGCCTCTTAGGGTGGTGCCACTCCAACCAAGAATCATCACATCACGGTTCCATACTTCATGTTTTCAAGAATACCTGACTATCCCTATGATATATAATTGAATTGCCTCTCTGCCAGTGTTTTGCGCAGGAAGTCTTCCAGCAGATCCTGAAGTCAAACAAATTGCCTGAAACCTGCTCTTTATCTCTTGTGGTGAACCGTTCGTCCCTAGAGAATCACACAAATATGCCATAACTATAAGGCAAAACACTCTTGTAATTGTAGGGTCCCATGCTGCATTTTACCACGCACCTCTCGCCGTTTGGGCCTCCTCCTTCTTCTCAGGCTTGTGGATCGGGACCAGCAACTGAGCCGCG